GACAGTGAGAAAGTTTTTTCTTGGTGCCCAGCCTAAATCTGGTGTGCTGCAGTTTAAGTTTATTGTTCCAAGTCCTGCACTCTGGGATGGGTGAGGAGATGTCTTTTCCTTCCTCTTTGTGATAGCCTCTGAGGTACTTGCAGAGTGCTAGCATATCCCCTTGTAGTCTTCTCTTCTCGAGGCTAAACATGCCCAGCTCTCTCAGCCTCTCATCATAGGGCCTAGTCTCCAGACCCTGAACCAACTTCATTGCCCTCCTCTGAACCATTCCTAGTTTTTCTGCATCTTTTTTAAACCAGAGGGATCTGGACGGTCTGTGGAAGTCGATGGGGGACAACAGGATGGTGTTCAATGTGGATAGGGGCAAGGTCTTGCACTTGGGGCATATGAATGGATGTCACAGGTACAGAATGGGGGACAAGTGACTGGAGAGCAGCACTTGTGAAAGGGATCTCAGGGTACTTGTTGACAGCAGACTGAACATGAACCAGCAGTTAAGAAGGCAAATCCCATTCCTGGATATATAGCCAGAAGTGTGACTTCCAGATCTAAGGAAGTGCTGATACCTCTGTACTCAACTCCAGTGCACCCACAACTGAAGCACTGTGTCCAGTTCTGTGCTCCACATTATAGGAAAGACATAGCTAGGCTAGAATCAGTCCAGTGCAGGGTCACAAGTATGGTAGCTGGGCTGAAGGGATGTTATATGCAGAGAGATTGAGGAAAGTGGGTCTTTTCAGCCTGGAGAAGAGGAGACTCAGGGGATCTTTTAGCAACTTACAGGTATGTGAGGGGATGTCATGTGGAGGAGGACTGTGACCTGTTCTTCCCTGCAGTGGAGGGCAGGACACCTTCCAGTGTGTCAAAGCCCAGGGAAGCAGGCTTCAGGTTGGATCTCAGGAGGTACTTCCTGACAGTTGAGACCCAAGGGTATGAAATGGGCTTCTACGGGAGGTGGTCAAAGCCCCATCGGTGAAGGTGCTCAAGGAATGATTGGACAGCCACATGTTGCAGATTACAGGAGTGGAACCAAGTAGAGCTGGGGGACAGACTAGGTGGCCCAGGAGGCTCCTTCTGACTCACTTTGTTTCTATGTTTCTATTTTTGCTCTCTTCCATATCTCTGCCTACATCACAGGCCTTGGAGAGGAGGTAAAACAACCTCGGAGAGGGGTAAATGGGGCATTCCAGAAGAGGAGAGAGGACTGGAGCTGCCGGGATATAAGGAATCTTGAAGGTACTCCAGTCTTCGGTCCTCCTCCTGCTCCAGGAGGCCTCAGAGCAGAAGGTTGGGGGACAAAGCATTTCTACCGCTCCGTCCACTCTGAACTGGATGCATGCAATATGATTGGGGGCTCTGGATATTGTGTGTGCAAACAAGATTGTTCCCTAATTGGTTGGATGGTCCTGAGTTAACTGGAGGGAGTTTCAGCAAGTGCTTTAGGAGGAAAACAAATACAAAGGCAACAAGGAAACTCACATTGTTGAGAAATTAATGCCCACCGGTTGAATCAACATATGAATCAGGCAGGGACTGGAAACTTACACTGGGCCCGGGGACAGATGCCTCCCACCACCAGACCAGACTGGTGGGCTGGATGATGCCATAAGGTGGAGTTTCCTCTGGGAGCTCCCTTCTCACCTGTGACCAACTCTAGCCTGCCCGCTTTGCTTCTTCTCCCTACAAAAGTAGATCCTATGATCCTACAGAGCAGCTGCTAGGACCCTTTCCTCCTACACACGGCTCAGATCCCAGTTTGAGTATGAGCTGTGTGCTAAGCAATGGGTAGGGCCAGCTCTGTAAGTGGCTATGAAGTCCGTCACCTCATTCATGTGTTGCTCGTATCCCAGTTGAGGGCACAAGTTGCCTATCGAGGGAATTGCCATGTTACCTCCAGGGCTGCAGGACCCCCATCTCCATGTTCTTTCCAGGATAACATGGAAATACAGTATGTCAGAGATACCAGAGGTGACAAATGGATTCCCCTGCACATCATTTGCCTTCCCACTGGGAGGTGAGCAGCATGCAGGTGGAATCCCATGTGTTGTATCTTCACAGTTGGGAGACAACATGAAGATATAGCTCCTCCCCCAGGGGGCAGCACTTGGGGAGAGAGGAGCCCATAGAAGGTGCCCTACGTGGCCCTGACTGGGAAGTTTCACTGACTGGATGAGGCCCGCAGGCCACCTCTGGATTAAAGCCTAGAGGGCATGTCCCCTAATCAAAGGAGAATCTCAACTTTCATTAGAGATGTGTGAGGAATCTGAATGGGGTGAAAAATGGATGGATTTCCTCAGCTCAGCACCCTGGAATTGTTCCATCAATCCTGCACTGGTGCTGACAACCTGAAACAACTTGAGCCAGCACTCCAAATTCTGTTTTTAAAAAAGGCCATGAAGTTCCATAGTTTTTAAAAAGGCTAGGAAAAGGTGTGCAGAATTAAAGGTTCTACTCTGTAAAATAAGTGCAATGTGTAGAGCTGAATCTCAGATTGTGTGGAGCTGAAACTGTCCAAAAACTGCCAGGCGGCCAAGGCAAAGGGCGTAATGTGCAGTGAGGAGGCTTCTATAATTCTCATGTTCAATGCTACAAGGATAACTCAGTACAAGAAGTTAGCCTTGATTTGCACAAATTTCAGTTTGTGCAAATCGCACTAGCGCCATTCAGTTCTCAGCTCCAAATCTGCACAACTATTTCGAGTCAGACTAGATGGCCCAAGAGACCCCTTCTGACTTGCTTTGTTTCTGTGTTTCTCTGATGTACAGACATATTGCTATCATGCTGTTAAGAAAGAGGCTTGCCAGTGCAGGCCTGCCGACTGATCATTTCAGGGTACAATATTTAATTTAGTAATGGCTAAAATAATTAGCTTTGCCACCACCAAATTTGTGTGGGTTATAAAAGTAAGGTTCTGTGTAGCTGCATACTTAATATATTTTACACTGATTTAGCTCATTATCATTTTATTTTACATTTTTATAAACTTTCTGGGGGTGGGGAGAAGAGACTAAATATTTGCAATTCTCTTCTGCGACCATGCTGGCAGAAATGGAATTCTGACAGCAACTAGATTACTAACTAAAAATATGTATGCTTTGGAACGGGGAGTTTTCAGCATACAAATTCTAATTAACATAAAGTACACTAGAAGGGCCCCTCACATTGCTGGAGTCTCAAATTCCCAATAGGGCCAGATCAAGAAAGATCACGGGTAGCTTTTCTCTCTCTCCTTAACCATTCAATGAATATATTAAATTATTCATTGAATTTACGTCATTTATTCAGATCATCCAAGGGTCCATGCTAAGGGGAATAAACTAAATGAAGAAAAAGGTACTGGGGATGGTCCTTAAGATGTGACCCACACTCATTTACCTGGGTTTAAGCCCCACTGAACGTAATGGAGTTTAGTCCTGAGTAGACAAGTATTGCACTGTCAATGAATTAAAAATAACCAATTGTCTTCCCTTCACTGCCACCCTTGGTTGCTTGTTGACCATCAACCAATGCATCTTTTATCACAGCTACTCTTCCTTGCCTATCCTCCCAAGGCAACCACCCTGTTTGGGAAACGTACGAACACATGAAGCTGTACCAGGTGAAGCCATTGGTTTATCTAGTCCACTTACGGTCTGCTCAGCACCAGGCAAAGATCTTTGTTTTTCTCCCAGGCATGTTAACTTCATCTGTTGTCTGCTTCTAAATCTATTACTGTATTTCTCCAGATCTTTACATTGCTGCTTTTTGAAAAATTCTGCTTGGTTACTGCAGTCTCCTGCTTTTTCAAAAGTGCATATTCTGTTTTATATTGCTGCGTTTTATGGTTTTAGCCGTTGTGCACCACCCAGAGAGCTTTGGCTATTGGACAGGATAGAAATATAATAAATAAATGTATATATTATTTTTATTACAGGTCCCTGTTGTTCCTTCTAAACATTCCAGGGGTTTCCATCCATCATTCTTTGCAGGGCTTTCCTCCCTTTAGAAAGTGCTTGTGTGCAATTAATAGTTCTAGAAACCACAGTTCTCCTTTTACCTCTCACTCTGTATGCAGTAATAACAGAGGACCTCAGGCCAGCCTTGGGGTGAGCTGCTAGGAGGCTTATAAGTGCGAAGGTATGAGCGAGGCACCTGGATTGATATGCATGGCTTTCCATCTGAGAAGGGCAGCTGTGCCCACACATGAAATCAAAAATATCAGGGTCAGGGCTTGGAACTGTACATTGTAGCATAATAAGCATTTGGCTGCTTCTGGAATATTCAAACATATCAGATGGATTAGGCATCGTGGGCTGGGGGGAGGTACAGGGGTACAACCTCACCTTGCCAAACCCACCCGCGTGGTCTGCAGACTGGGCAGGGGGTACCAGGAAGGGGCATGGAAAGACAAACTGCTCCATCTCACTGTACCTGGACCTAGGTACAGTGAGATGGAGCAGTTCAGACCCAGGTTGGCCTGCAGCCTTGTAGGAGTTGGGAGTGTTGAGCCAAGAGGCTCAGTGAGGCTTGGGGCAAGGGACAAGAATTGGACACCACAGAGGCTGAGCTGGGTCTTGAGAGTTTGGATAGGATGCTTCAGATGTTTCCTGAAGGGCTTTTGCGGGAAGGGGATCATGTGAGGGCTGTGCACTGTGTCCAGGAGGTCATCTCCACATAAGTGAACGCTAAACAAGGATCTGTCCAAATGGCAAAGCCCAGGCTGGCCACTGAGGGAACAGGCCGGCAACTCATCTGTTGTGTGTCAGCTGGGGCTTCGGGTATCAGGGCAATGTTGTGGTGGCTAGCCACGCCAGTCTCCCTAAGCAGCACAGGAGAGTCCTGGGCTTAGGTTAAATCCACCCTCAGCTTCTCAACACACACACACACTGTTGTCATGATTACAAGGTGTGGTCCCCTTCACACCACAACTTCCGTCTGTCTCTTTCCTGCAAGAAGTGACCTCTCTTCCTGAGACTGGAACCCAGCTTATAACAATTATAGCAACTTCTCCTATTTCTTAGATCTCTTTCAGGGCGGATTGTCGGAGGTGTCTGGTGGTTCTTCACACTCATCATTATCTCTTCCTACACTGCCAACCTCGCTGCCTTCCTCACAGTGGAAAGGATGGTGTCTCCCATAGAAAGTGCTGAGGACCTGGCTAAGCAGACCGAAATAGCTTATGGAACTTTGGATTCAGGCTCAACCAAAGAATTTTTTAGAGTAAGTTTCTTCCATGCTTTAAAGGTTCCCCCCACCCCCATAAAGGCATTCACAAAATCTTATTCATAGGATGCAAATATGAAGAAGCATCTCCTCATATATTTGTCTTCCTGGGCCCCAGGGTCTTCATCTGATGCCTATCTCCAGGTACCTCCATCAAATGAGCAGGGATGAGTCTCCACAAGAGAACGGACCTTTTCAAGTAATAGAACCTTATCTGTGGAATGCTTTCCTCAGAGAGTTTCATACTTCTTGGAGGGCACCCTGGGACTTCTACTCTCATTCAAGCCAACTCGTGTAGGGCTCACTTTCAGACCTGGCTGGTTCGACATGGAAAGTTTTGAACTGCAGAGGTGGGGCAGCTTGCCAGGGGACAATGGGGCCAACATGCAGGGCTCCATCCCAGTCTACATTTTAATCCCTAATGGGTTCAAACAAGTGGCCAGGTCACATCGCTTCCCAGATGCTATAGAGGGAGGGGTTTTCATGCAGAGCGACTGGGAGGCAATGTGGGAGGGAAATAACTTTGACTTGGTTTTGGCCAACAGGGAGGAGCTGATAGATGGGGTGCAGATTAAGGAGCTCTGGATGCAAGTGATTACTCCATCCTTTGCTTTGAGATCAGGGGAATGGGGACGAGCGGCAGGTCGAATACTAGAAGCTGGAAGAGGGCCAACTTTGGTCAATTGAAGGCCAGACTGAAAGCCAGACTGGGGAAAGTCTCCTGGAGAGAGTACTGGAAGGCAAGCCTTGATGATACCACTAGTTAAAGCTCGGAGGCGAAGGAGAACACGAAAAGAGTGTAAGAGGGATTAGATGCAAGGGGCACCTCTGTAGGAAATGGTCACTGGGTCAAGTAGACAAAAGAGTATACCGGGAGGAGGAGGCTCATTGCAGAAGGATTCTTCGCAAGGCTAAGGCTGATTATGAGCTGAGACTTGCAAAGAATAACAGGAGCAACAAAAAGGGCTTCTAGCAGCATGTACATAGCAAGAGGAAGGAGAGACAGGCATTGGGACCTCTAAATAAGGAGGAAGGGGATTCAGTGACTGATGTGAAGGAACAGGCACAGATGCTAAATGATTATTTTGCCTCTATGTTCTTCCCAAAGCAGGATGGGGGAGAACCACATGGGGGATCAGATGAGGCCAGGGATTTAGGGGCACAGCTTAGAGTCACCCCACAAGAGGTTGAGGAGCTCCTCAGGACACTGGATGTTACAAAGGCCTGATGGGTTACACCTGAGGGTACTTAGGGAGTTGGTGGGGGTACTCTCACATCCACTGGCCTCCGTTTTTGTGGCCTCATGGAGATCAGGTGAGGTTCCAGAGGACTGGTGGGTGGCATCAGTGGTCCCAATTTTCAAAAAGGGTAGTAGAGGGGACATAGGGGATTACAGGCTACATCCATTCTAGGAACTCTTAGTGGGGAATCAGCGGAATGGCAGTGGGTGATGAGCGGGGTTCCCCAGGGCAAACCCCACCCTTGGTTGCATAGCCGGAAGTGTGGCTTCTAGATTGAGAGAGGTATTACTGCCACTCTGTATGACTCTGGTGCACCCACAGCTGGAGTATTGTGTTCGATCCTGTGCCCCTCATTACAAGAGTGATATAGCCAGGTTGGAATCAGTGCAGCAAAGGGTCACTAGGATGGTGGCTGGTTTGCAGGGAAAGCCATATGAGGAGAGACTGGGGGAGCTGGGTCTTTTCAGCCTTGAGAGGAGGAGACTCAGAGGGGACCTGTTAGTGATATACAGGTATGTGAAAGGGTGTCCCACAGAGGTGAGTCCTGACCTGTTTTACCCTGCAGAGTGGGGCAGGACGCATTCCAATGGAGCAATGTTCAGGGAACCGAGATTCAAGGTGGATTCCATGAGAGACTTTCTGACAGGACCCCTGGGGCACGGAATGAGCTTTCACAGGAGGTGGTTCAAGCCCCATTGATGAGGGTAAGGATAGGATAGACATGCACATGGTAGGCACGTCATGAGGAGAGCCAGCTGGAGCTGAGGGTCAGACTAGATGGCCCAGGAGGCACCTTCTGACTTGCTACGTTTCTAAGTGCCTGTTCAGGAAATGTCTGTATTGCATGTGTGAGTTGATAGGGAAATGGCACTCTAGAGGGTAGGTGCAAAAAGAGAGAGAGAGAGAGAGAGAGAGAGAGAGAGAGAGAGGGGGGGGAAGCTTCTCTACTCTTGTCTCTGTATGTTGCCATCTATGCTGGTGGCTATCAATGTTTGCTTCTCACATTGTACTGCAATTTAACATTACGGGATGCTATAGCAAAATGTAAAGAAAGTCGCATGGATGCAGTTCTGATAAAGCCGCCACACATACTGGCTGCCCTCTATTCGTCACTGCCACAATGCTTCCTTGCTTCTTTCATCTCCCTGTCTCACAGCACCCTTTAATCCACTGGACTTGGAGGAAAGCACAGGCACCTGCTCGCCCAGGGCTCCAGCACAGGGATATTCCCTCAGTGGTTTAACAACACATTTTCGTCTGTTATCTCCTTCTCCAGAAAGTGGAATTCCATGGCCCTTCAGTTATCTTCCAACTCAGTGCTTCAACTACTGGCAGAAAGCAAGAGAGTATTGTGTGCGTGTGTGTTTCTCTTCTGTTATCGAAATAGAAATTCTACCTTTGGAAGGAGATAAATAAAAAGTGTTGTTTTAGTTACAAAATGGAGAAAATAGAGTTAGATCTCTGAATTCTGTCCTGTCAGATTATAGGAGGCACATGCATCATTGCAGTCTGTCTTGGAACAAGATGAATCAGGGAATTTAAATGATCTGTAAAGGGAAATATAGCAGAATCAAGCGAGGGGTTTGTCTGAGAGAGTTAAAATAATTGACTGGAGCAGCATAGCTTGGAGCATATCTCTTGACAGCTCAAATAATCTTGTGTCTGGCAGCTCAGGGTCAGGCCAAGGCCACAAGTATCTGGACCTGAATGTTCTCAAATCAAGGTTCCCCAAGGACTAGAGACTTGAATTAGGTCTGGACTAGTTATGGCTCCGGACTAACAAAAATTGCACATTTCTTCATTAAGAAGGGGAAGGTTTTTTTAAAAAGTGAAGGATAAACAATTTTAAAAATTGAGATTCAACTTAAATGAAGGCAGCTAGACGCTGGTGAGACGGACACCCTATGAGTAAATGTTTACCAAGTCTGGGAGATGGGATATTTGCCTGTTCCGGATGGGGTTGCACTCCCTTGGAAAGGCCTGGCTCGTAGCCAGAGGGTCCTTCCTGGAGTCCCATATCACTGTGGCTGCTCAGAGTGCCTTCCACTGTCCTCAGCTTGTTCATCAGTTACCTGTAGAGCAGTCATTTGGCCACACTGGTACAGGTGTTCTTCACCCCTATGCACAATGGAGCAGCTCCTCCATTGTCAGTATTCATCCTGTTTAGCCTCCTGAGCAGAGAGTACTGTGGAAGAAAGCCCTAAAGGATGTGAGACCAGGATACCTGCGAGCCCACCTTTCCCTTTCCTGACCTGTCCAGCCTCTGAGATCACTGGAGGGCAAGCTCTGGCTGCTTCCATGGGAACCCATGGCCCAAATGCCCCGCCAGAGGAGGGGTCCCAACTCAGTGCCCCCCCTCCATTTCCTTGGTAACCCCAGGGTCAGGGTATCTCCAGGGTTGTGTTGTTTCTGGCACCAGCTGAAAATAATTTCATTTCTGGAAGGCTGCTTTGTTTGGCCAGGCACAGGTTTACTGGTATCCTGATTTTAGTGAATTGTTTTATGCGTTTATCTATTTTTCCTTTTATTGCTCACCACCCCAGAATCTCTTCAGACATGCAATAGTAGATTAATGTTTAGAGGAAGGGAGGGAAGAAGGAGAGAACAAGAACTGAGAAATACCAAATGTGGGAGAAACAGAAACTGACAAGTCAGGAATAAGGCTTTGAGCACTCAGGTTTGAATAATCTGCGTGTGAATTTTTCGTATTCACCTGTGTTGGTTGAGCTCAAGGCAGCTAGCAGTAATAAAATACAGATTGAAAACACATGCATATTTAAAACACCGTATAAAAATGGAGCCTTTAAAACTTGTGTTTTAAAAGCACCATAAAAGATGCAAGCAGCACCCATCCATGTAAAACTCTCTTCGGCAGCAGACCAGCTAAGATGACAGAAGCCTGCCCAAAGGAAAATCAGACCGCCACTGGCCCATCTAGCTCTGTCCAGTGGCCCATCTAGCTCTGCCCTGACTCTGACTGGCAGCTGCCCTCCAGGACTTCAGGCAGTTTTTCCTGCCCTGCCTGGGGATCATGCCCTATTTCTGCACGGTAAGCATGCTCTGCCACTGACCTGTGGCACTTTCCTGTTACCTGGCAGGCAGGTGCACTGCGGTCTTCCTCCACACAAGAAATAGAGCTACCCATTGAATTTGGCCTGAGCAGATAGCTGAGCATTTCATGTCACTTATTTTCTACACAGATGTATACAGATTCACGTGTGTCTTCATACAAGGGCAGAAAGAATTAGAGGTTTAAAAAAAATGAAATGTGAAAGAAAGCAAAACAGATGATGGATTCGTTCATTGGTAGTCCGGGGCCTCATTGTCTATTGTTATCACATCTATATCCCACTTCTAGTCATCTAATGTCCTCAACAGCATGTTGCATTTTACATACCTCTGTTTAGCCCTCCTCAGTCATCCTTCTGGACTACAAACCCCCAAATATGTTAGCCTTTCCACCTTGGAACCTTTCACTTGGTTTGCTCTGAGGCCTGCATGTCAGTCATGATTTTCCTGCTCTCTGATGCACACAAGGGTCCAAAAGCATGTAGATGGCCAGGCGAGGCTTTCGCTTTGGAGCACAATGTCCTTGGTTCAAATCCCACACTACCTGGCACCCAGGTTGCTCTGCTCTCTGGCTTCTTAGGAAACCCCCACACATTCCAGTGATTACTTATTACTCACTGATAGACATATTTCTTTATTTTTTTCAACTGAGGATACTTCTGCATTAGAAACTGGAGTCACACCAGC